CGGGCTGGAACAGGAAGGATGCCCTTTTCTGCTCCCTCGGGGGCTCTGGGCTTGCCAGCACCCACTCCCACTCTCTGTCAGGGTTCCCAGTGCTGCTCAGAGGCCTTGCAGACTGCTGGCTTTTCTTGTCTCGGGGTTGCCCTTGTGCCCTCCTGATTTATAATGCCAGCATCCTCTGTCCAAGCCCTTCTCCACACTAACGGTTACATACTAAGTGACTCAGTCCCCTGCCAGTCAGTGATGGTGAGCCAGCAACTGATAGGGTTTTCCTGTGACTTTAGGATTTTTAGGAAGAGTCTTTAAATGTTCCCTTTAAATTATGTGTATATGCTTATCCGAGTGTGGATTTGTGCACTGAGACCCCAGAAGAGGGTGTGGGGTCCCCTGGAGCTGGAGTTACGGTTGGGTGTGAGCCGCCTGACATGGGTGCTGGGAACCGAACTCAGGTCCTCCACAAGAGCAGTTCATGCTCTTAACTGTTGAGCCACCTCTCCAGCCCTGACTTTAGGGCTTTTAAATTATGGAAATATTAAAACACTTTTTAAAAATAGAGAACAGAACAATAAAGAGTGCGCATATCAGCTAGAGTTCAGTGTTCATTGTGTTGGCTCCTTTCCTCATTGCTGTGATAAAAGCGACCTAGAGAAGGATTTGTTCTGGCTCATGCTTTCATGGGGCGGACAGGAAGTGGCTGGCTGGCCCCATTGCATCTGCAGACAGGAAGCAGAGAGCTGAGTGCTGGTCCTCAGCACCTGCCCGCTTCCTGTATTCAGAGATCCCAGCATATAGGGTGGTATCTACATTCAGGGCGTGTCTTCCCGCCTCAGGTAAACCTCTTGGGAAACACTCTCACAGACGAACAAAGAGGTGTGTCTCCTAGGTGGTTGCAAATCGGGTCAAGCTGACAGTAGCTGTTAACCATCACATCAGCACTTTGTCCTGTTTCCTCATTCTTGCTGAAGCATTTGAAAGCAAATTATGTGATAATTAAAGATCTAATCATAGGCCATTTATTGCATTTTTCTATTTTTTGTACCTAAAACTAACCCCCCCCCCAACATTTTAGGCGTTTGGTTTGTGGTTGCCGCTGCTGTTGCTTGTTAGGGTCTAACTGTTCATATCAGGCTGCGCTAGACCTCTTTATATGGCATGAGCTGGCTTTGAACTTTCAATTCGGTCACCTCAGCCTCCCAAGTTCTGGGGTGCCAGGTATGCACCACCAAACCCAGCCTTGTTTTCCTTTCTTTGTGGCGTTAACTTCCAAGTTCTTGAATGCCTTTAATGGAGTTTGTGGGTTTTCCCTCGGGTACCTTCAGTGGGGGAGCCATTAGGTACCGTTAACCAGAGGATTGCGAGTTTGTGCTTTCTCTTAGTTACTGCATCCAGCTGGCATCAGTCACTTTGAAACTGCTTCTGGTCTGACTGTGGCCATAGTGTTTATCGGAAAAGGGGATTTCTAATCTTTGTTTCCTTTTAATGACAGATAAAGATTTTCCGCCATTTGTACCTAATTTATAGGCTTAAAATGGATACAAAATAATAAAGGCAGCTACTGAATATGACCAGGAATAAGATAAGATTAGTAAGTCCTAATGACTGTTCTGCATGTTCAGTTTGCAGAGAAATTCCAGGAGGTAAAGGAAGCTGCCAGACTCGCCAGAGACAAGTCCCAGGAGAAAATCGAGACCTCGAGTAATCATTCCCAAGTAAGTCATTTGTCCCTGAAATAAATGAGTGTGATCAGTAATTGAGATTCCTTATTCCTTGTCACTCTTGGCAAGAAACAGGTAATTTTAGCAGCAGGGCATTCTGAAGGCATATTTCAACTGTTAGCCTGCTCTCCAAGAGATGAAGTGACATGTTTTTTATGAGACTTTGGAACTTCTCCCGTGTAGGACCGTATTCTTGACAGAGAACTGTTGATACACTCCGAGTTGCCTGTTCCCAGGCCAGGAAGAGCTTGTGCAGTCACTCGGTTTAAAGGTCACGGTGTAACTAGTGGTGGAATGCTTACTTAGCCTGTTCAGGACCAGGCTTTGTGTCTGCACCGCAGAAGGGGGCGGGCCTTGGCCAGTGCACAGTGTCTGCACCAAGGCCCTTCATGCTAGGTCAAGGGCAATGTTGAACTCTAGCGACCTTGAGGAGAGGCAGTGTGAGTGGTGAGGCAATGTTTGGTGACTGTTGGGAAGTCCATAGTGAGATGTTCTTCAGTGGCTGCAGGCACCTCCTGCTCATTAGGGAAAATGCTTAACCGAAGACAGGTGGGAAGTGGTGGTCCTGCACGCTGAAGAGATCTGAAGAGTCTGAAGAGATCTGGCTTTGCCAGGATTTGAGTAGTCTGTCTGCTTAAAAGTGTGATAATGATGGCTGTAAAAGACCCATTTAACCTGAGATTTAAAAAATACTAGGATGCCTGGCTTCTTTGTTGATGAGAGAAGGCTTGACCATCTTACAGCTAGAGACAGGGAAAGGGAGACTCCAGGAGCAGACATGGGATTTGGAGTAAGAGTGATGGTTGAGCCAGACAACCTGGGTGTCTGCCTTGTGTAATAAGTTTATTGGGGTACACAACATTTTGGGGAACACAATACCACCACATTTCCTCTCTTTTTGTCTAAAATTAAAAAAAGTTTATAACTAATACAAGAATAGTATATACAATATATACAGTCAAAAAACTCCATTATATATATTAACAATGTCCAGTCCAGTAACATTTGATAAACTCAAAAAAATTCATTACTTATCCTATTTAAAACAAGTAGTTCCTTTTTTAAAGTATTTTTCTTTTCATAATAGATTCAGTAATCTCCCTTTTGTCATTTTTATATCTTCCCCTTTTTCTTTTTAGAGTAGATTCAATTATCTACTCATTTATCTTATTATTTCTTTATCTTTTTTTCTCATGGTAGATTCAGTGATCTACCTCATATCTATATTCTCTTCTTTATTTTTCCTTTTTTTTAAAAAAAAAAAAAAAACCTCTGAATCTAATTTCCATGTTCAGCTTTTTCCTGACCATTAACAACTAACAACTTGTAACCAACCATCTTAAACAATGTCAATTATCCATAAGCCATTGAACGACCAAAAAACACCCACCCCACCTCTTGGGAACATGGGCGTTTTTTTTCTTAAAATTACTTCCTGCTTTCTAGGGGCAAAGACATCTTTAGGGGATCCTGAAAAGAAAATTTTGGGTTAATTGTCAAGTCCTGTATCATTTGTCCAGTCTCTGCATAATAGGAAAGTTCAGGGCTTGTCACAAGTCCTTGTTCAAGTAGTCTGTCAGGCTGGATCATCTCAGCTAGTCCTCTCGAAATTGTCCTGACCAGTTTGTAGTCCAAAGTCGATCTTTCCGTGGTGTTAATCAGCTTAATGGCTTTACCATAGTCCTTGTGGAATCATCACTGTGGAGTTCTGTCATCTTTTTGAAGATTTCAAAGTCACTGTTAGGTGTGGTCATGGTTCCCTGCAGACATTTTATTTATTTATTTATTTATTTATTTATTTATTTATTTATTTATTTATTTATTTATCTATTTAGTGCCTTCTCTGTGGTTTGGAGCAATCACAGTCTGATAAATGCCTGTCTCTTAGAACCATGAACATTCTTCCCTAGAAAAGAAAATCTTCACAGCAATTTCTCCCCACCATTTTTCTTGCCAAACTTTTCCAAACTGACCTCTGCCGATGCTTTCTTGTAACAAGATGGTCTTGGCAATTCTTCTCTGAACCAGCAGCAGTAAACCCTTCGTCCCAGGTAGCAGCATCACTGCAGTCACCAACACGATGAGAAGAAGCCAGCAACTTGGAGCAGCAGCCACTGCCTCCATGGTCCCACCACTGTTTGTGGCTCGGCCACGGCCGAAGCTTCTCCTAGGTTGGCCTCAAACTTGGGATCCTCCTGCCTCTGCCTCCTTTAGTAAATCCAACCAGTGTGCTTCACCACAACTGGCTGAGGGTAGCTTGGGTCTGAGCAGGGGCCACAGGCAAGCAGCTTTTTCTTGAATTCGTAACACGAACGTTGGGCGCCAGATGTAGCAGGAATCTTAAAAGTTCTTATTAATAAAAACAAACCTGAGCCAGGTATTGGGGTGAACACTGGAAGATCAGAGAGACAGGACAAGCCACAGCTAACCTCACCTGGCCAACTTCTCAGCTGGTCTTGTTTCCTCAGACTGGAAGCTTCTGTGTCCTCATCCCAATAGCTCTCAGCTGAACTGTGTTGCTCCAAAGCCTGAAAGCTTAACCAGCCAAATGCTTCTAGTTTCTGGTCCTCACGCCTTATATACCTTTCTGCTTTCTACCACCACTCCGTGGGATTAAAGGCTCGCTTTCTGGGATTAAAGGCGTGAGTCACCATGCTTGGCTGTATCCTTGAACACACAGAGATCTGCCTAGCTTTGCCTCTGGAATGTTAGGATTAAAGACGTGTACTACCACTGCCTATCCTAACTATCTAGTGGCTTTTCTGTTTTCTGACCCCAGATAAGTTTATTAGGGTACACAATATTTTGGGAAACACAATAACACCACAGCCTTGTACACTTACTTCTGCATCGAGTATGGAGATAAAGCCTGGAGATGCTGTGAGACCGGGGATTCCTCATTATCATCCATTTCACTAGCTAGGTGGTCAGCAGACATCGGAGTCATCATATGACTACTGATATGGAGTTGATGTGGGCATGATGTAAGAGCGTGCTGCGGGATGTGTCTCGGGAGGGTGCTGGAGGGGGGAAGAACTCCTTGGCCTGCGTAGCTGTAGTGCAAGTGAGAAAGGGTTGGCTGGAGGCACAGTGCCTAGGACAGAACCAGGAAGACCAGGCACCTGAAATAGTGGCGTTCAACACCCGACCTGACCACGAGCCAAACAGAATAGCTGAAGCCTGGGAAGTAAGGAAGAGAGGAGGTCGGGAGCGAGCGCTCCGGGCAGGAGAGCCCTCAGCAATCACTCGGGATGAGAGAGTCCGCCAGGGCCCTGGTTTGGCCGGCAGACTTGGTGGCTAGGATGACCCCGACGGGCAGAGCTAGGTCTGTCTTGAGGTGTGTGCCCATACTTTGTCTTGGGCTCGCCGTAAAAAAGACACTCCAGATAGGTTTATGGGATTGAATATATGCCAGGCTCCAGGTGGACGGGAACTTCCCTGGACCTTTCTAAATAGTCCTTAATCCAAGTGACAGCTTGATTTCGTGGAGTAATTATTGAGTAATCAATCACCTAGGGTGAGTTCTTGAAATGGAAATGTGGGTAGAAACTATAGACATTTTCTCTTTGTTTTTTGTTTTTAATTTTACGTTTAATCATGTGTGTATGTGTATCTGTAGGTCATGTGTTGGGGGTGTCCGAGGAGACCAGTAGTATATCAGATCCACTTGAGCTGGGGTTGCAGGCTGTCATGCATCACTGATACACATGCTGGCAACTGACCTGGGGTCCTCTGGAAGATTACCACACACTCTTAACCACTGAGCCATCTCTCCAACCCCCACGCCCCATGGACATTTTTAAAGCTCCCTCAGAAATGGTCCCTGGTATAGAGAGTTCTAATACACTGTCTTTTTCTGAATACCACATTTTATAGTGATATCTTTAAATTTAAATATCTGAATTTATCTAAAATATTTTGTTTTAAGGTTATCTTGTTGGATAAATGTACCTAGTAGGATATTAAGTAGAAATGAGTTTTTGTCTATTGAGCCTCAGTTTTTATTCATCTTTGCGGATGCTTCATTGTCTGTTTTCCTTGTTCTGAACCATCGGCTGCTTATTTCCTTGAGTCTTTTCAGTGAATGAGCACTCTGACCAAATTACAAATGACAAAAACATTTAGTATAGGTTTTTGTACATATTTGACAATAAAAGCAATACCACATAGCACACTCTCAAGGAAGAAATAAAGCCCCCCCCCCCTTTAGGCTGGGGTTGTAGCTCAGCAGTAGAATACTTACCTAACAAGCACAAGGCCCCGAGTTCCTACCCCAGCACTGGAAAATAAGCTCCAGGCCATGTGCTGTATCGCAGTTGGAGGATGGGTTGGTAGTATTTGAAAGTATGTATTTTTATTATACCTTGCTAGTACATTTTTTTGTATTACTCTTTTTAACCTTTTAAGAAAATACTTTGTAAGTCGTGATTATTTCCTCCTGGTTTCCAGTTCACTTTCAAACCTGCTTTAATGCCCTAGTAATATTCCAGTTTGTATCATGACTTTCTCCCTTAACCTCCTACAATTTGGGACAGCTGGTTGGTTTTTGTTGTTGTTGTTGGTTTTTTTCTCACTAACATAAATACCATGGTGATGAACATCCCTCCCCAGCTTTGAGCATTTGATCATTCTCTGCAGGATAAATTCTGGAAATGGAAATATGGCTTGAGGTGTGGGTATTTAAAGTATTGAGGTGTCTCCTCTTAGCCTACAGCAATGTTGAGTTCTGACTGCCACCAGCAATGAGTAAGGCTTTTTCTTCCCACACCTCACTAAGAAAACTTGTTGATTTGACAGATGGAAAGTGTACCTCCATTGGCCTTTTCCATTTCTAGAGACACTGAATGTTTTTATGCTATTGGTTACATGCATTTCTTTTTTTGTAATTATCAATAGTCTTTCTGTCCTTTTGAAAAGTGTTAAAGTATTCATACATCGTTTTCTAAGGGCTTTACATATTTTAATATACTATTAAATATGTAATACAATATTTTTATTAATTCTTTGAGACTTTCATATGAGGTATTTTGATCATATTCACCCCAACTCCTCCCATATTCACCCCCACGTCCTCTCCCAACTTTTGTCCTCTCTCTCTCTTTCTTCCTTTCTTTTTTTTTTTTCTTAAATAACCTACCAAGTCCACTCTGTGCTTCCTTATACTCTTGGATGTGACACTGTCCACTGGCCCATGGCTGACCTACCTGGGGCCACACCCTTAGAGAAAACCCATTCTCCCTCTTCCACAAGACACCGACTGTCAGTAACCCCTCAGTTAGAGGTAAGGGCTCTTGAACCCCACCCTCCGTGCTTGGCTATTGACTGGCTTGAGCATATGCTTGGCCAGACAGCCACAGCTGCTGGCCTTACATACGTTTTAATGTGTGTGAAAATGTTGGGCCGATGCTGTATGATGACCCTCAATGACCAAGTGTTTGGTTTGGGCCCCTGCTTCTGCTGCCCATGCTTTAAAGGCAACCCAAGGTATCTTAATAGATCCGAAAATATTTCAGTATGTAACTCTAAAAATGAGGGTTCTTGGGCCAGCAGGTAAGAGTACCTGCCATACAAGCCTGATGAGCTGAATGACTTCTGCTCAGTCCAAGGAACCCGCAGTTGAAGATAATGGATTCCTGAACGTTGTTCTCTGACCGCCACATACATGTTTGCATGTGTATGCAAATTTTTTACACATGTAAATAAAATCTTAATGTAAGAAAATAACTCGAGATTTTCAACATGGAAAAGATCTTTAAATTTCACTTTTAATACCTGCTGCATATATTTTCCCTGGGGTTTTGTTTGCATTTTAATTTTATTTATGACTTCTGTTTTGTAGTGCAGAAATTTAAGTTAGTCAAATTTATACATTATTCTCTTCACACTGCCTCTATGCCTATTGGAAGCTAAATAAGATCTCAGATCTTATTCAGGACTAGATGAGGTTTTCCTCCTGGTGGTTTGGTTTTATTACAAAAAACCACTTCAGGATATTTATAAGAATGCTAAGCAGTATTGAAGTCAGCAAACACTGTATCTGGTTCCTGTGTTTTTAATAAATACGTTGGTCTAACTCTCCATAGCCGGGATCTGTACGTCAGCTGTTTCTTATACTCTTTCTGTATCCTCAAGGATTTGCTATTCCTCGGGCTCTTTGTTTTTTAAAGCAATCCCTTTGTCAATTGTAACTTCTGTCCTGGGGTATTTAGGGGACCAGGTATTCAAGCTTGGTAGACAGGGATTGAACACAGAAAATAGGAACATAAAGTTTGAATTAAAAAGCTCTGAGTAGTGGCCCAGGTATTATCTTGTCAGTAAATCGCAGACTTTATGAACTCCGTGTGGTGTGTTTGGGGTCTTTAAGCCCTAGAATTGATTGTCTTGGTCAGCCTTTTTGCTGATTGGTCTACACTGCATTCTGGTTCAATGAGTCGGTTTGTCCAGACTCATAAACACGTATTTTCTCATTATGCCTAATTTGCTGCCAATGTAAGGACAAGCAGTAACATGTGAAGATAATTCACTTTGGCCAGGAATCTGGGCGTGAAACCCCATCTTCCATCCAGGCATCCAGCGTCAACGGGACGGATGATGAGAAGGCCTCGCATGCGAGTCCAGCTGACACCCACCTCAAGTCTGAGAACGACAAACTGAAGATCGCTTTGACACAGAGGTGAGGCTGCTTCCAAATCCACACCCTCTGTTATTTATGCTCTGTTTTTCCTGGAAGCCTTCAGGGTTTGGGGAACTGGAAGAGAAGACTGTCTTGCTTGGAGAATCGCATTTTACCTCCTCGTCGGTGGAGGAAGACCAGTTGGCTTCACTGTCTATCTGTCAGGCCAATCATTCAGTGTGTACGAGTGTGTTAGCGTGAGGAAGTGTGTGTGGAGGATATAATTATGTGTGAATGTGTGTGAGAGAGTCTGTTTTGTTTTTTAAGAGCAATATTTACCATTTATTCATCTAGGACAAGAAAGAGTTAAGCATCCAAGAGAAGCATATAAAACCCTAAGAAATGTCAGCTCTCTGTGAAAAGCCAACACCCATGCTCTCAGGTGTGCCCTGTGCCTTCCTATTAACCACTGTGCATAGGATCTATGAAAAATACCTTTCAATAAACTCCAATTCTGCTTTAAAAAAATCTAAAATATGAAAAAATAATATGAAATCACATATAAAAGCCAATAATAATCCTATCTATAAAAAAGGATAGGATAGTATTTGAAAAAGAGGTTTCCTTTACAGAATTAACTAGAACCATAAACCCACGGGAATAAAGCTGGTGAGGAGCGTCCAGGATGACGTCAGAACGTGGTTTCGGCTGCTGTTTTGAAGCAGCGTCTTTAGCATGAGTAAGCCCCAACCTTGCTCTGTAGCTGAGGACAGTCTTGAACTCCAATCTCCCTGCCTCTGTTTCACCAGTGCCAGGATCATAAACATGCGTCACTTTAAAGTCATTTTTGAGGGTCACAAATGAATGATTTAACACGTCAACATATGATTTCTGGTCTTTAAAAATATTTACGGGGAAAGATGAGAGGGGAAAATTTTATGGAGACTCGAGAGATGGCTCATCGATAAGAGTGCTTGCTGCTCTTGCAGAGAACTTGAGTTCCGTTGCCAAAACCCACACCGGGTGCCCCATCATTGCCTGTAACTCCAGCTGCAGGGGATCCAGCACTTTCTTTGGCCTCTGAGAGCCCCGGCACACGTGTGGCACACGCTCAAATAAAAACACAAGTCTTTAAAAATATTTATAGTTAACACATAGTTCTACATACCTACCGTTTACAGCATGACATCAAATGAACATAATGTGTGCCGATCAAACCAGAGTCAGCCATCCTTCCCTCCAAACCCAGGTGGCTTCAGTTGAGAAGACGTAGGAAGCAGGGTGGCTCTCGAGGTTTGGGTTTCTTCTGAGTGGTTCTGTACGGTAACAGGACACCCATACTGATGGCAACAAGACTTACATTTTAAATGGCATCACAAGCTTTTGTGTTTCCGGGTCTTCAGGACTGGCCTTGGTACCTTCAGAATTACTCTGCTCACCTGGCTGGGGGCTTTGGCCAGATGCCTTCAGTCTCGTCCTTGCGGCTAAGAAGGTTCTCTGCTCTCACTAGACTTCCCCATGTCAGAGCCGACTCACCTTCAGGCCTGTCCTGTCTAAATTCCCTCCCTGGACTGTTGAGGACACTAGGCACAGTTAGTAAAGTGACTCCCTGCCTAGGTCACGTGGTTAAAGCGAGCCTTTCCATCTCCCAGGCCTGCCTTGTTTGCACTTATCCCCCCAGGTAATCTGCAGCCAGCCGCTGCCCCAGCTGGAGCCCCCCAAAAACACCGCCATTCACTGGCCTCGCTCAGCATCCTGGCTGCCGCTTGCAACTTAACTCCTGGGGGCTGACCTAGAAATTCCAGAAAGCACAAGAGACTTTCAGATCCCACCTTCTGCGTCTGGATGCTGGTTCTTTTTAGGTGCTTCAAAGACAAAACTGACCAGTCTCTTTTCTTACCTACCTTTGGTTGTTTAAGTCACAGTGGGATGCCCAGATGAAAATATTCCAACCCCAAAAATAAATGTTTTCAAGTCCAAGTTCAGTGAAAAGCAAGTTAAAGGAATAGCCATGAAGCCATTCCCCTAAATTGGCTTAATTCTCAGTCATCACCTCTAAAAATCATCAGATAAAAACAGGTTACTGGGTTTTTTATTCAGTCTGTGGCATTTAAATCTGAAAGCATGCATTTCCTAATCAAATCATAGATTTATGAGGCAGCAGATAGAAAGGTAACACTGTTCAGATATGGTGTATATATTTCAATTTTTTCTTTCAGTCATTAGAAAATGGACATTCCTCAGCTGAGCAGAAATTCTCTTTGTGTGTGTGTGCAGGTTCCTGTGTGTGGAAGTGTGAATGCACTTGAGTGAATATATGTGTGTGTGGGTGGGTGTTGTGTGTATGCATGTATGTGAAGGCCAAAAGTCAACTTTGTGTGTTGCTCCTTAGGAATCATCTACCTCAGAGACAGAGACAGACATCGAATTCCTGTATGTGTCTGTAGAGAGTGAGACTGACTTACTGTGTGTGTCTGTGTGAATGGGGTACGTGCATGCGTGTGGGGTGGTGTGCGGACATACAGAAACCAGAGGAGATGCTGGCGTTTTCCTCTATCACTTTCTACCTTATTTTTTGAGTCAAGGCTTCTTGCTGAAACCCAAAGCACCCCATTTGGCTGGGCTGGCCCACCCTTTGATATGGTGTCTGTGATCCAGTTTTGTCTCTGCCCCTCAAAGCTGGGATTACAGGCACATGTGGCTGTCTACGCCCAGCTTTTACACGGAGGCTAGGGATTGGAACTCGGGTCCTCCTGCTTTTGCAGCAATCACTCTTGTCCCACGAGCCACCTTTCAGCCCCATTTTTGCTGTTCTCTTTTATTTTAGACAGGGTCTCTCTGTAGCTCTGGCTGTCCTGGAACTTGCTTTGTAGACCAGGCTGGCCAGAAACTTAGAGAGATCCACCTGCCTCTGCCTCTCCAGTACTGGGATTAAAGGCATGTGTCACTATGCCTAGTTCCTGTTTTTTTGTTATGGTTTTGTTTTGTTTGTTTGTTTTTTAATTTTGAGATGGGGTTTTTACTGAACTTAGAGCTCACCGATCATCTAGACTGTACAGCCAACGAGTCCCAGAGATCCTCCTGCCTCTGCCTCCCACCACGGGGATTACATCATGCACTACCGCCCCTGGCTTTTACATGTGTGCTATAAATCAAACTCGGGTCCTCACGCCCATGTGACAAGCCCTTCAGAGACTGAGTGGTCACTCCAGCTGTGTGACAAGCCCTTCAGGGACTCAGTGGTCACTCCAGCTGTGTGACAAGCCCTTCAGAGACTGAGTGGTCACTCCAGCTGTGTGACAAGCCCTTCAGAGACTGAATGGTCACTCCAGCTGTGTGACGAGCCCTTCAGAGACTGAGTGGTCACTCCAGCTGTGTGACAAGCCCTTCAGAGACTGAGCGGTCACTCCAGCTGTCAGCAAAACGTCCTGTGGGTTTGTCCTTTCCAGCTCCGCTCCATCACCTCAGGTCACATTCAGCATTGCAACTCTCTGGACTCTAAGACACAGAAATGAAAGGGGACAAAGCGGAGCAGTGACCCAGGGAGACCTGGCTCCGTTTGTTGGAAGGGTCTTCTCTGGG